TCCTGATCATATTTTTCACTGTATTACTCAGCATGAAATATAAACATACGCCAACAGTAGAGAACGGAATACAACTTCATCATAACCGTACAATAATTTCGACTTTATTTTCCTCGAGTGCAATGTCAGTGACCCTGCAATTTTCTTGCCGGACAAAACACTCAGATATCATCCGGTCTTCGGTCTTCGGTCTCCGGAGCTCGTCCTCCCGCTCCGCCCTATACTTTTCCACCACGAGCACGATTTTGTCAAATGTCACTGCCGCGACGTGTTCTATTATTTGGCTATGGGGATTTGCTTTTGCTTCTCCGGATTTATATTACTGATGTACAAATCCTCATAGAAAATGATTCAATTATATATCGCGCTCCATGAGGCTCTCTCTCCGGGGAAGAGCAAAAAATATACGAGCGAACGCCATAAGAAATCTTTCGGAATAGTAATGTTTGTGACAGTTATTATTTCTACTGAAACATAGTATTTCACGGCCGAAGCAAATGGAATAGATTCATTAAATATAGATAGAATTGGATTCGTTAGTATTTTTATACTGAGCACGTAGGTGTCAAAGTAATTATATTGCAGGTGATGAGATATAATATAAATTTATTTTTATTACAGAATAATATTGGCAATATGATAAAATTTTGATATAAGTAACTTTGATATTTTTACTATTTCGAATTCTATATCGAGTTATCTAATTACCTTCATGAGAATAAATCGTAATAAATAGCTTAATTAAAAAATGGAGTGAAAATAAGAGAATAACAATAAATCAAAGAATGATTTTTTTTAAAAATAAGTAAAAATGGTATGGAAGATCAAAATGTGCTAATAATATTCAAGAAACGCCATTTAAAAATTGTAAGTTCAATAATTTTATTAACCTTAGCTCAAGCCGTCTTTATCAATGTACTCTTTCTCTTTACTCCTTTATTAACTTGAATTACACTGATATTAAATTTTTTATTTTTATATTCAATACTCTTCTCCTCATACCTATATTGCCCTTTTGTTATGCTCATCTTTGTATAGGAATCTTTTATGGATCCATACTATCATTCATTCCAACATTCATACACCATCGCCATCTAGGCATAGCTAATAATCTTAATTATAAATTAGATTATTATAAAATTTATAGTTTTATAATTATTTCGAGATTCCTTACACAAAGGATTTGAAGATTGTTATATTCTGTACATATATTATAAATAGTTTTTATAATTTTTTTTATTTATTAAAAGAAACCACAAATAGTAAAACTTTTAAGTATTATCGAAATTACAAACGGAAATTATGAAGTTATTATTTCTGGCCAAAATATACACTCATTTTATACTTAATCCACAATTGCCATTTAGATTTTTTAATATATTTATCATCGAAACCTGAAAAAAATCGATACAAATCTGAAAGAGTAAACTAAAACCTGATGATAAAAATTTGTGCTGATGATAAAATGTTAGTATCGAAATTGGCGTACAAGCAAATAAAGAAGTAATCTGATAAATGAAAATATACGTTTAATAAATTTTAAAATTGAGGAATATTTAAATCTAATGTTACCTTATTTAGCACTAATGGATTTATTCAATATTATACAACAATCAAAGTTATTGATAAAACATTACAAGTTGTAGGGCTAAATTATACATAAAACTTGATGAAAGTAACATTATGCCTTGATGCAAGTTGCATGAACTTCCAGAAATGTTTTAAAATTTAACACAGATGTTGGCTATAATCTTTTTTAAAACTTTGATGAGTTTCTAAAATTAAACTACCTGTCGTAGGACCGTAATATTTCAGTATGTTCTAGAAGACCATGATCTCTACGCAAAAAAAAAAATCATGAAAATCATCGAAAATTTTTTTTCAATAGTTAATTACAATAGATTCTAATAAGAATTGTTAAAATGCGCAGCAAAATTACTCACAATTTACACGTTTGGTGAAAGATAAAAAATCTGTTCACACACATATACTTTTTTCAAATCTGGAGTCATTCGATTCAGAATGGCTTGAAACCTCTAAAAAACATAAAATTAGCAAATAATTAGCAAATTATGAAAACAAAAACTTCTCCTTCGGGAAGTTAAATATTAATCAAAGAAGGTAATAAAAAGAAAAAAAACAAAATTAAAAAATGAACTAGTGGGGTGGGTGGCATCGTGCCTTAAGGCAAATTGCTGGAACTTCCCGTACCGTAACGAAACGTTCAAGGAATATTGAATGTTTTCAAATAGATTATTATAAATATTGTATTATTGTCTAATATTTATAATAATTATATAAACTGAATTGCAGAGTTGAAATTATTTGTTCAAAGTATATTAGAACTATAGTCAGAATTAAAATAAAATCTGAATTATTTTCGATATACAAAAAATTAAAAAAAAAAAAAAAAAAAAAAAAAAAAAATAGTACAATTTTTTTTTTTCCAAAATTAATTATTTTGTTAAGACAAGCAGAAAGTTCTTTGAATCAATTGAATCGGACGCTTAGTTCTCTCAAAAACTGCCATTTTTTGTACATTTAGCTCTGTATCTCCGAAATGGCTGGGCCTGCCTTTGCGAAAAACTAATAACCCTTTCTCCCAATCATTACTAATGGAATGTTTTTTAGATCATTCAAATCGGATGCTCCGTTCTCTCAAAAACTCGATTTCTATTTTCTGCACTCTTTGCTCCTTATCTCCGTAACTGCTGGACCTGTCTTTGCCAAAACTAATCAGCTCTTCTCCTTATTAATAGGAATCGAATGTTTTTTAAACCATTCAAATCGGTTGATCCGTACGCCCGAAAACGTGGACGAAAATTTGTATCCATACATACATACACACACACACACACACACACACACACACACACACATCCATTTTTTCTGAGGTATGCCAAAACGTTCAGAAACCTTCAAAACGTCGAGAAATGTAAAAAATTTCAATTCCGATTTTCGGCCCATTACAATAACTTACCCTACGGGAAGTTAAATAAATAAATAATTTGAAAAAATTGAAAAGCAAGTGTAAGTAATTGCTCCAATAGCCATTTGAGAATATAATGCAATAGAATGAATATCAAGATGATCAAAAAATCCTTTTCGTACATATCTGTATTCCTCGTAACCTTTCATAATTGGCCTTTGGTACAATCGATCGAATACTACTCATCCAATATTTTCCACGCACGTCTTTTTCAATTTCCCAATAGAACTTTTCGCGATCGGGCGTTGTCTCCGCGAATCACATCATAAATATGTAAATCATTTTCCGAAACAAGAACAATTGAACCTGACGCAACCGCAACGGGATTGTCATGTCAACCGAACAAAACGCAAAGACAAAGAGACACAAACATTCGTATTTCAATTTACATAATACTTTTTGGATCATGCAGTAATCTTGTTTCGATGTTTTGCTCAATGTCAAACATGTTCATGATAATGCCATCAATAGGAAGAGGATACCAGAAACTGGATATACGATGGGGAAAATCATTCGTATTTGCGTGATTGCTAATGAAAATTTACAGTGTTGATAATATTCTTAGAGTACAGTATAAACTTTTGCATTGGTTGAATATTGAAGCTAAATTTTCGAAAAATCCCTTTGAAATTAAAAATAAGACATTGGATCTGTTTGCCACATAGCTGTACCATTTTATCCCACTGTGAGGTAAAAAAGATCAAATGTTTTTTTTTTTTTTGGAAAATAGGAAAACGCAGTTTTACTGTGAAGTTACACTAAACATAGTCAGATAGTTGTTTGTTTAAGATGTGGTCTTTGTTGTGATTACGGTTTAAACAAAAACCGACATTCTAAAAAACCGGTTTTTGCGTTTTAATTTTACCAGAAACCCGGTTTTAACCGGTTTTTTAATTTTATATAGAAAATACATTTTTGCTCGAATATTCTATAATAACAAAAAATTATCCGTAAATTTAGTGCGATTTAAAGCAGTATTTGACTAAATTTATTTATTGTTCAATTTTATGGACAGTAAACCAAATTATTTTAATTTTAATTAGTAAAACAAACAAATAATAGTTTATCTGGATTAAATAACTTTAAAAATAATTATTAGTTATTTATGCATTATTTTCACATATAAGAATAAGATATTTTTAAAATAGTGAAGAAAAGTTTTCGAATAAATAAAAATAATACATTTTCGAATGAAAAACATGTATTGAATTAAAAAAATATTAGATACATGTTGATACATGCTTGTCAATATCAATTTTAGTTTTAAAACCAATTAAGCTAAACCCCGAGTATTTTCTATTCCGATCAATTTTCATTGTAATTTTAAAATTCTTATTAGTTTTTTGTTTAATAAAATGTTATTAAAACTCTAAATGTCTATCAATTTGTTACTAGACGTGTCCGTTGTCTACTCACAAAATTTTCCATAGTAGAAAATACTTTCTTACTTGCGACCGAGCTGGGCTTAATTGTTTTTATAGCCTAATAATATTAATGTTTTTGTTCTTTTATTTGTAGCTTCCAGGGCTAATGAGCCTTTTTTTTGAAATTGGATTAGAGAAAGTTACTTCTTCTAGAAGAAGTGACACTGATTTAAATTAATATATACACCGGTATGAAAATCTAAATTAATATAAACATTAGACAAAAAATTACAGAAAATCTTTCTGGAAACCATAGCAGGCTGATAAGATTCAAAATGGTATTGAACCGATATGATTCAAAGAATCAAAACGCTTGAAGCTATCTTTTATATTTGGCTATATTTGCTATTTTCCATTTATATAGTGAAACCGACTTTTCTAATTAAAAACCGCTTTTCGAATTCCATAATTTTCGTCAAAAAACCGGTTTTTGCAAACCAACAAACCTTAGTTGTGATGTAATCGGTTTGGTTTTGACCATATATTTCTTCAAAATCAAATTAGATCTTTGATCCACACTCTACCCTTTACAAAATTTTAATTATGGTATGATAATCTAGTAGCAGAAATATCAAGAATTCACTTACCACGTCGTATGACACGTATGGGTCAGTGTCATATATCGCACTCCTAATTCATAAAATGTTCTAAGAACTGCCAGAGAGGTGGCCATTGAATGACCGCCCTCTACTCCAATTAGGCTTGCTATTCGACGAGGCCTGCTAGCATGGGCTTCTAGAATTTCTGGAAAGAATAATTTATAATATAAAATCAAGAAGATAATTAGTAAATAATACTACAAACATTAGATAGCCTATTTCAATTTATAACAATTCCTGATTGTAGCAAAATCCATTCCCTTCCCCAACCTATCTCTTATCAAGGTATGTGCTTAATTCTCTCAGTTAATTAAACAGCTCCAAAGCAAGTATTCTCACCTTTGGCCGATGTAGCAAACTGCAACGTAGACGGATAAGCATCCACAAATCTCCTAATAAGATCTATCTGCTCCAGCGTGAGACGGACTGCATCCTTGCCTTGGGACGAGCAAGGGACGAACGCGGACCAGAACTAGAAAACAAGGTGAAGGTTATGTAACACCATACAGGAAGAAAAAAATAGTAAAATGCATAATATAATATGACTTCAAAAATACTTTTTTTATTTAATTTATTCTGCAATATGTTTTACATGAGCATTAACATTAAGCAGATATTGCTAACAATGATTATCTTACAATATTAACCAGTAGATAGTAGCAACACCCAGCGGCGTGTCTACTAGGTATAAGGACTAATTATCTATACTCGAAGTATTTGCTGACATTTTTATTATATGTGCAACTATACCCACGAGAGGCGATTTTCACTTGAGGCTATATTTGAGATCTATGACCTCAAGTGGAAATTTGACATCAAAGTTGCCTGATGTCAGGCTTGGCGGTAGCAAGAATCGATCCAGCGAACCTGGGACTAGTTGGTGCTAGCCCACGCTCTAACCGATATCGCCAGCGCTGGCCCACTTCAAAAATACTATTTATTTTATGTTTCCTCGTATTAATTAAACCGGTAAACATAACAAATGTGGAAACCTAAGTCTCAAACCCAATTTTGATTGAACTTTTATAATGCTTCTAATAAAATCAATCACATAAACCTTCTCCAAAACTGATCAAAGTATATATGTACGATATATGGAATTAATCAAAATAAAATATGCAAATTCTCTCTAGAGATGCCGTAATACTGCTGCTTAATTTACACGTTTTCACCATAATGTTATATTTAATTGATTAATTTTTATAAGGTTCTTAAACTCATATGTGAAGTAGTCAACTGTGTTAAATAATCTAACACAAAATCTAAATTTGCATCAATAGTGCAATCAAAAGCATATCTACCTAACAGTTAAGAAAAAAAGTAAAAAAAAAAAAAACTAATTTCTAATTTCTTTAGAAAGATAATATCTAATGTGTAGTCTTTTAAATACGAATTAAAAATATGAAGTGTTTTAGTTTATGTTTAATAATTTGTTGCAATTTTTTTGACTTTTGAAAGTAAATTATGGATATACTCATACTATAGATTCTTATACCGTGATCAGATATTAAACATTATTTTGAAATAGCTTAATATTTTGTTAACAAAAAATCTGAAATTGATCAGTTATATTGAGCGTATCATAAAATCAGTAATATTATTATATCAGAAAATATATTCGGCTTTATTATAATTATTCCGAATGTAGTAGTATATTTTAAAACAATAATTTTATGCATGTTATTACGGATAATACAGATTCAAACTAGCTGTAAGTGGAATTCTGTCTTAAGGCAATTAGGGCATCGTGCCTTAAGGCAAATTGCTGGAACTTCCCGTACCAAAAATTATTATTTTTTTTAAAAACAATTAACATTTTTGAAAAAAATTTACTTTGAAAAAATGAAATTTTTGAGAAACTATAAATTTGACAAAAAATTACTTTTTTTTGAAAAAAAAAATTTTTTTTTTAAAAAATTTTTTTTAAATTTTTTTTTTTGAAAAAAAAAAACATTTTTCTTTATTTTGACATATTGTGGAAGATCTGAACTTCCTTTTCAAAGCAATCGTACTGCTTTAACTGCATAGGGACAAAATATAAAGCGCGTAAGCGCCGCGTCGCTGTCTAACGCATGAGCATTGGTACGGAACCCATAGGAATGTTAACAAAATGTATAATTATTGTTAAAATCTCTATAAAATATCTGATAATTTGATGCGCATATGTCTAATGATCATTTTTGACCGCCAAATGGCCCATTTTTTTACTTTTTCCTCTATATCTCCGAAACCGCTAGACCCACCTTCATGAAAATTTCACCGATTCTTCATCTTGTCAATACAAGTAAAATGCTTTTTGAATTATTCAAATCGGACGCTCCGTTCTCTTCAAAACTGAGGTACCGTTTTTGGCACTTTTTGCCCCATATCTTCGGAACGGCTAGACCTGCCTTTGCCAAAAACTAATCAGCACGTCTCCTCATCAATACGAATCGAATGTTTTTTAAATTATTCAAATCGGTTGATCCGTGTTCCCGAAATCGTCGACGAAAATTCGTATCCGCACATACATACACACACATACATACATACACACACACATACACACACACACACACACACATATATCCATTTTTTCTAAGGTATGCCAAAATGTTCAGAAACCTCTGAAACGTAAAGATATATAAAAATTTTCATTTTTGATTTTTTTGCGATTACTATAACTTGCCCTACGGGAAGTTAATTATTTAAAAACGAATTTAATATATAATTATAGCTATAGGCAGAACATGCTTCAAATCGCAATACAAAACAGTAATTTTGAAATTAAATATGGTTTACTGAATAATATCATTCCATAAATGAACAATTGATAAGTTCTTTTGATGCATCTATGTAATTTATTATTTATTATTCCTGTTTAGTGTAATTATATATAAATACGTTCAATTTTATTTTCATGATATTTTACGCAATAATATGCATTAATATTCTTATGAAGTATACTGCCTGTTTTTTTTCTTCAAAAAACTATAACAAGGTAAATTAGTAATTAATGGCCTACAAACAATATATCTATAATAATTTAGAAATTATTTGTTATGTCACTTCAACAGGATTTTACACAGAGAAAATGAAAAAAAAACTAGTTGGTATTGGTATTTTGCCTTGAGGCAAGTTACATGAACTTCCCGATATGTGTAAATAATCGACTTAATGAATAAAATATTAAATAATTTATAAGTGATTAAAAGTATTCCGAGTGGATTTATTACACATAATTGGAAACGAACAAGCACGTTAACTCGGAGCATTATCTAAAAGCAAATGTTCAAAAATCAATAATTTTTGTAATTGAACCAGTTTCCGTAGGACTTCAATGGTTTAGTATGTTCATTAAGATCAAGTACTCTATCTTTATACCAAGTAAATCGTCTAATTTTAATTTTAACAAACATCTAACAAACCATTTGTCGTAAGACCGTAATATTTCAGTAAGTTCTATAAAATCATGATATATATCTCCAAAAAAATTCTATAAAAATCGGCTTAAAATTTCTTTTTAAGTTAATTACAAGAAAACGGTTTGGTAAATTTTCACCTAAAAATAATCAGTATCATTCTTTTGAGTTTTTGAGAAAACGTCGATGAAAAGTATAATTTTGACAAATGCCAAAAAAACGATATTAGTTTTTGCAAACTTTGCAGAATTTTAAAAATTAAACGACTTGCTGTAGGGCCGTAATATTTTAGTATGATCTATAAGACTATGGTATCTATCGTCAAAAAAAATCATAAAAATCGTCAAAAAAACATTTTTTAACTCTTCATTACAAGAAAACGGCCCGGCCGATCTTTACCAAAAACTAATCAGCACGATTCCCAACCAATATCTTTCGAACAGGTTTTCAATTTTCAAAATCGATTGAGAATTGCGGGCTAAAACATGGACGAAAATTTCTTCACTTTTCTGCGATTCACAAAGAAACGGTTTGGCTGATCGTCGCGCAAATTTGATAAAATCTAGTCTCCAACGAGATACATCGAATGACTTTCAAATTTTTAAAATCGGTCGAGTCGTTTTTGAGAAAACGTCAATTTACACAGTTAAGAATTATAACATTCTAGATCCTCCCCCCACGAAGTAATGCCTAACGGCGGTTTCCGTGGGAACCAGAGACCAGGGCAAAGCGTAGGTTCCACTCGGTATTATACCAGAGCGGTATTGATACCAACATATTCAAACAAAAGACCAGTCTGGGATGCATAAAGGCATTTCCTTCGCTATACAAAAAAAACATACATACTATTTCCAAATTTGGTCTCATTTTCATTTGGATTTAGAATAGCTTGAAACGTCGAGAAAACATAAAATTATCGAATCGGATTTTTTGATGAAAACATAAACTTCTCCTTCGGTAAGTTAAAAAAATGAAATTTGTTCGAAATAAAATTTTACGAAGGATCGAAAATGCTTATTGAATATCACATTAAAAATCATTTTGAAACATATTATCTAATATCAAAATAATTTGGTTTATTATTCCGATTCTACGCACGCTTTACAACAATTGTATAATAAATTGATTATGGATTACGTATTGTAGCAGTAATTTGAAATAGGTTTAATAGTAATTACATTATGCAATTAAATGCTACTGAAACGCATTGCAATAACATTTCAAATAATAATAACAATGCTAAATTATGCTACGGTTTAGTTTCAAATTATATCAAATATTAAAATGTTTCCCTCACCTGTCCGCCTACATGTCCCTCACGCATCCTGGGCAGATCTGTGTGACTGAACCGACTGCGGGACCAAGGTGCGACATTGCGCAAGTCCGTGTCCAGATCCAAATCGCGAAGTAAATTGTGGCTGAACTTGCGAATGTTCCATGGAAGATCGTTGTGTCTGCAAGAAGATAACACAGTTACACTTAAGTCGAAATTTTATCAAAACATTGTTAGTAAATGTACAAAGTCATGGCGAGATGAAATGTAATTTGAAACACGTGTAGTACTCGTATGTATGTAGCTCATTCAAAAGTAAATTTTATCTGTATGGTGTTTCAGTAATTTAATATAATATTTTACCCCAAGTTTACTACATTGGATGGCTGATGTCGTCAATGCTTAACTTACAAATGTTATTTCATGCATATGCCTCGGCGTCGATTCTAATTGGAATCGCTAAAATGCGCAGTAAAATTGCTAACAATTATTTTTGTATAAATATATTAGATCTAGTAGATTTATGATATTTCAACATGTTTCAAGATCTGTCGTCATATAAAGTTTCATCAACATCGACAATATAATTTTTTTCAACATTTAATTACGATGATCTTTACCAAGAACTAATCAATGTGATTCCCAACCAATACCTCTGAAATAGTTTTTGAAATGAATATCGATTCAATATTGTGGGCCTAAAACTGGACAAAATATTTTACACTTTTCTGCTAATTACAAATGAACGACTTGGCCAAACATAGCGTAAAGTTAATCAACAATAGTCTTTATCCAGGTATATCAAAACTCTTAATTTTATGAAATCGGTCCCGCCATTTTTTTGATAAATGTCGACATCAAAAATTGGATCACACACATACGCATATTTTTTCCAAATTTGGACTTTTTTATTTTAAAATGAGAAAACATGAAATGAATTTATTATCGAAAACATCATTTATTACCCAAATGTTTGTATTTTTATTACTATCAAAACATCAATTTTTTTATTTGTAGTGATTGTTAACTGATTTAAACATTATTAGTATAATTATGAATTTTAATTATTGTCATAATCTGAACTCTTTCAGAAGGTTGTAAAATTAATTAGAAAGAATGTAGTATTTTCATGTCATAAATACCAATACTAATAAAAGTCTGTACGTAAAGAGCACTAGCAAGCCAAAACTTGAAGAAGTTTATAAAATGCTTCATTGGAGTAGGTATAAAGTACATCAAAGACATGAAACCCGGCTATAGCTATCTTGAAAGCTTAAGGATTTAGTACTGGTAAAAAATGTGGAAATATAATAGCTAAAGGAATGACAAGATAAAATAAAATCATATCCAAAAAGCAGTTTTTAGGGCCAATTCTCTAATAAAATAGTAATGTTAGGGTGGCACTAAATAACCTGCGGGTTACTCTTTGCACAAGTTGGTAGTAAACTATCAAAAAGTTATGTATTTGTTAGCAGAGTGTTATACACATAAACGTATATATTATCAAAGAAAAACCATAAAGTAGCACTTATAACAGAACTATTATTTGACATTGTGTGTTTTATAGTTAGATTTATGTGTTAAACGCCTGATTGCATAGCAAATACAAATTTTAACAGTAAGTTACTACCAGCTCCTAGCCAACCAATATAAACATTTTCAAATCTGAAATGACTACCACTGGGTACCATTTTAAAATCTTATATTTACACATTTGTCACCAAATTTACTGAATGCTTTACTAGGCAGATTGCAATTATATGGAAATAAAAAAGACACTACCAACACATAGGAAAATGGAGCCATCATATAGCATTACCATGATATAGCATTACCATGATATAGCATTACCCAGCTTTAAATTGACCCTTAATAGAAGAACAACAAAATTTAGATCGAAAAGAATGCTAATGCTAATGTGCTTACTATTCACACGTAACACAATGGACAAAGAAATTTAATGAGGTACTTTCAAACTCTACCAAAGATAGACCCGTAACATAGCATATGCGTAACATTTTTATTTTGTCCGAAGAATTGGCCCTTAATTGAAGTACAAA